GTAGTCGGGAAATTTTTACCACAGACTCAGTGAATGATGGGCAACAAAATGCACCTTTTAGATTTTCAACAGGATCACTTTCATTTTCTTTTATCAATTGTACAAAAAAGTTGCAATTGACTCATATATATTAGTGACTTCGAAACAGTATTTTTGCTTATAGAATGGATTCTACTAAATCAATCTGAATAGTTTTTTATCCGTTTTATTCCTCTATGCTTATTGTTTATTCCCACGTGACCTTATGATTATCAACTACTGACACAAACTGTTTTGAAATTTATCGATTTCAGTGTTGTCTAACAAATAATAAACTTGCGTTTCTCTGTAATTTTAATATATATATTAGGTTAATGTCTACCGCATTTTGTGAGAAAACGGTGAACTTTCTGAATGAAGCCTTGGATTACGGTAGGTTGTTAACCTTAAATTTTATTGAGTACCTCAATTACAAACACAACGAGATTTTCTCTAGGACGATATTTGATAGATGTCATCTATGACTAGAGTTGGATTAAATTTCAAGGATATAACGTTTTGGTAAAAAAGTTTCTAGCCTAGCTTCTATCTTCGTAGAACAATATCAATCTAACTTTTTAAATAGAAAATTCTGAAAACATAACACAGAGTTTTTAGTTTACTTTTTTGAATATCTCTATTATTCTTTAATTGATGTTGCGAAAATCTTCATCTTACGCAAAACTGAACTGCATCTTCAGTTTTAGATTCTACGTTATAGATTTGAAATGACTGCTTGGAACAGACGAAGTGAAAATATGATTTTCACGACCTTAGAACCCCAATAGCCTTTTTATATCAATAATAAATACATCATTTGATCTGTCTTGATGAGATCTATCAAATGGTGTATAATATCAATGGAATAAGGCAGGGAACAGTTTAAGGGCGAGTATTTTGTTGTGCAGTTTTGATTATAAAATGAAGATGATACCCAAAGTGCTAATGTATTTCGATTTTGCACGTCCGTAGATATTGCTCTGACTGTTGGCGTGCGAAGAGTGAAATACTGAGGAGATAAGATTTAAAGATTAACTGTTCAACGCTGTTTTCAAATATTGGCGCTACGCTATCCCATTAGCTGATTATCTATCGGTCAAACAGCGATGAATCATATATACATTACTTATTAAATTATCACGAAAAAAATGCATTACTTTTCTTCAAGAACATCAAAAGAATGCTTAAAATCATAAATCGTTAACTGGAAGTATCGTATGGATGGATTTGCATTTGTGTCTGGCAATAGATTCAAAGATTTAGCGGTACATAAAACTGATATTGGTGCATAGATGCCAAAGACAAAACAAAAAGAATTAAATCATTTTTTTCCAATTATTTCAGCAATGATCTCACATCTTTCTAAACGTACTTCTTGTGCATTTATTAATTTATTGTTCAGAATTTCTATCACATCACTTATCAACACTTACTTTTCCAGCTTTTTACTCAACAATCTATTTTCGCTCTTATGGATCTTCTTTAGAAGTCAAAAAAATCATAGAAACACCAAAAGGGAGGAAAAATTCGTTCAACATCCATCTCTTTTTTCTTAAAAGCATACACGACTGTTATATATCAGGCCTTTTTCTCGTTTCAGTGTACCAACTTTTATATTCCTCAAACACACTATTTTAAAAATGGTTATGCTCTTCAAAAATATCCTTGTGTGGGCATCGATCACATTTACAAATCTGGACTACGTTTAACCGAAGAAGAACAACAACTATTAGACAATTTTAGTCCCGAGTTGATTTATGGTAAAGCCAAAGTAAAAGTACCAGATAAATTTGTACCTGCCACCGTCTTCTATGATAAAAAGGTCAAGTTTTATCGTTTGTCTGTTTGTGCTTGTAAGATTGTTGGTTATTTTTTCTATTTAGGTTCTACGATTTTACGGTTACTTCAAACAGACAATTTATGAGAGTCCATTAGAATATTATCGTGTACGTCGTGTAATTATCTACTATTATTTAGAAGATGATTCAATGGCAATTTACGAGATACCCTATAAGAATAGTGCATTGTGGCAAGTGAGGAATTTGCAGTAAATATCTAACAAATTTTTATACATAACTTCTCATGTTGTAGGGTATGCGTGTTCGTCGGCATCGTTTTCCAAAAACTGATCAACACGAAACGTATAACTGGCGTGATTTAAATCTATCACAAAATGTAGCTGTTTATGGTACAGTTTATCGTATATGTGACTGTGATAAATTCACAAAGGTACTTTTCTAGTTTTTTTCTATATAAATATGCTAAAAAGTTATATTCTTTGATGTAGGAATGGCTTGAAAGTGAGGGTATCGTGTTAAATTGTTCTGAATTATTACCTGTAGATCCATACACTCAGAAAATGATTGATCAACATGAGAAAGAAAAAACACATGGTCATTCAGATTTACAAGAAATATTACCAAATATGTTTATACAAACAGAAATTGGAAATAAACAATTTAATCAATTGGATCGAAAAATTTTACGATTTTTTGCCGTACTAGATGAGAGAGATCAATTATATGGAGATTTGAGAAAATTTATTATACATGTAAGTATTATCGTGACTAGATATATTCGTGTAACATAACTCTTGTTCTCTTCCTAGACATCGATTCTTATATAAGAATTAAACGTCTAAGTCTCTTACCAGTGTCTTACAAGATTCTTATCAGAATCTTATCAATTTTTTATATAAGATTATTTAAAATTTCTCATCGACAGTCGTAAGTATCTTATAAGAATCTTATATGATTTTCACAAGAGGTTCGTAAGAAATTCATAAGAACTACCAAAAATTCTTATGAAGTTTTCTTGGCAATAGAAGCAACTAAATCATAACAGAAATCAGCAGAACGAACTCATAAGCTGCCATCTGATAATTAAGAATAACATAAGAATTTTTGGTTCTTCATATGAATTTCTTATGAACCTCTTATGAAAATCTTATAAGGTTCTTATAAGACACTTATGACTGTTGATGGAAAATCTTAAACAATCTTATATAAAAAAACTGATAAGATTCCGATAAGAATCTTATCGGCTTTATCAAAAAAATTTTTGTCTAGGGGTCTCTCTCTCTCTCTCCCTCTCTAGTTTTACTTGATTGATAATACTGTAGAAATTAGAGAAATTCATGAAGAAAATGACGGTTATGATCCATATCCAGTCTATCTCAATAGACAAATTATTCCCAAAGATTCGGCATACAATATAAGTAAGTTCATGTTCAAATATATGAGGTAATTATAATTGAATGTGTGTCTAGATTCCTATGTGAATTTATTTGTAAATTCAAAAGAAAAGAAGAAAATTTGTTATTTGATACCTAAAGATTTTTGTCTTGGTAAAAATATAAACATTTTTAATCGTCTATTTTTTCTTTACAATTGTGATATATATACAAAAAGTTTTTATCATCAAAATTTTCAAATGTTTGATTTTACACCGATCGAAGTTGATTTAAAAAAATTTCATAAACGCATTAAATTACCGGTATAGTATCTATTTTTGTTTTACAAAACAGCATAGAATAATGTTTGTTAATTTTAGCCGATTCCTCCACATAATATGTTTGGAAAACCGGAAGATACTATTCAAAACGTCAAACATCTAGTACCAAAACCGATTAAACGAGATCAAATTAAATTGATGGAAAACGAAAATAGAGTATTAAGATATGAAGCAATGATGGTACAGTAACAGATTACCAAATTTCTGTTCTAACATCACTTTCTCAATAATACATTTTTTTGTAGGATACTCCACGTGAAGAAGATCGTCGACGACGTTTTATTATCTCGTATCGCGTAGCTGATGATCAAATATCTGTTTATGAGAGACCATTAGATGGACACAGTGTATTGAGTAGAAAATTTCTAGAAAGAGTACGAATACCTAAACCAGGTACGTTCAATAAGCTACTAGTGAGATTTAAAGAAACTTTTCGTGTATAAGATCTGAATCTAATCTAAAACAAAAGTTTGCAGATTTAGTGCACCCTAGACAGAATTTGTAGCAGAAAATACTTTGGAACCTATAGAAAATTTGTATAGAATTTTACAAAATATTAACAGATTCTTACGTTTCAGAAATTAAAAAACAAACTGTGTCTACATTCTACGTACAGATTCTGTATTGAGATTTTGAAATTACAAAGTATGTGTAGATTATTTACAAAAATTTTTAGATCCTTTATTTTTACTTCAGTATAATACTTTATACCACAATATGAATCATCGTTTTCGAAACCACATTAAATAAGCTAAACACCATATCTTATCGAGTTGTACACGATAGACGAAGTTTAAACTTTAAGAAAAAAAACTATTCTTAGAAAATATGATAAGAAGAAAATCAATATGTTGTAAACAGTAAAGATTTGCATGAAAATGAATTTTGTATCTTAACCAGACTCGAATTTGACTATTGTATCATCGATCCTGATTCGTACTCGACAATTTTGTGCATAAACTATATCATCAGCAATATGTTGAGTTACTCATGTCCCTAAAAAAAGCTTCTTTCGTAGCAGGGAAATTACTATTGAAATAATGGTATATCTTTCTAAAACAGAATATTAATGTTTCAGTCTATATCAAATCTGTTATGTATTTTTTCTATCAGGTAGTCATCCTGATGCACCATGTTATTATGGTCCACATGACTTTTATATTGATGCCATTGTCGAATTTTTTAAACATCGTTTTATTATAATTGATGCCGATTTATACGTATTAAAGTTTATTGAAGAAAATAAACATCAATTTCCTCAACATGTTATCGATTCGTTACGGAAAAAATTATGTCATTACGATAATAGTAATAAGAATGATGGAAATAAGCGAACACAATATAATTATAATAACTCTGTAGAACAAACTATCAATCATCAGGCGAGTTTATCATTTCATTCATACGCATGATTAATATAGTTGATGATTCAATGTCCCCTTCTCAAAAAAGGATGCATCCGATAGGACTGACGTTTTCAGGAAATATTGGATTGGTTGATGAATATAGTTAAGATAAAATTTGTAAGACGTCATTTATCAACGGTCATAAGATGTTGCCCAAATACAGGTCACGCTAGAGCATTTCGTAGTTTCAAGATTCTACGTTAGGAAACATGTTGGAATGCTCAGATTGAGTGTATTTTCAATATTTTATTTTACAGAAAAATAGCAGACGAGAAAAGTCAGAAACTTTAAAAAAACAGACTATAAAAACTTTTCAAAGAACTCACTATATTTCAAAAAGAAAATTAAGACATCTTTGAGCTCTTCATCGCTTAGATTTAGAACTTCGAAATGTCTCGTTGAGAACGATGATTCTAAGAAAAACGTAGAACACATTTTTCGTGTAAAATCATTAGGTTTTCTCCAAACACTTACCTAGGGGAAAGTTTTGTTAAAGATCTTTAGAGATTTCGAGCATGCTGAATCTAAATAAACATGCGCTGCCTATACTTCTACCCATGCCGACTTTTATTTAAAACAATTATATATCAATAATATATTTTTTTTTCTCGTAGGAATTTACAGAAAAATTGCTGGAAAATAGCACAAGTGTTCGGAGGCATGAGTAATAGTAGCATGAATAGAGTACTCTGCATTATCACATTGCGTTTTTCTGAAAATCGATTTTTTTTTTTTTGTTGACGAAAATGACTATTTTTAACATGGACGGAGTCTTCAACGATAATCTTCAAGTCTAATCACTGTCAAGTTTGCTAAGAATTATTTGGAGAAGCGTCAATTTAAAAGAATGAGATGGTTCTATTCTATCTTTGTTTTAGGATGATTGTTATCATACAAACGAAAAGATCCATGTCCAACAACAGCAAGACATATCAAATAATAACGATGATCGATCGACATACAATTATTTGCCGGAACGCAGTGATGTTAGATGATGTTAAACAGACTTCTCTCTGTATATCAGTAAATCTCGTTGAGTTACTAAAAATCAGTAGTCTGACAAAGTTTATTACAACCACCACCTTCAGAAACTGTTTGTACATTCATTGTTTTACTTCTTTTGGTTCATCTTCTAGTATATTTATTTTTACAGAAAAATGTTGAGTATAATCTCTTGCGAAGGATGTACCATTTATCTCCTCATAAGTACCTATACAATAAATCAAAGTTAAAAATCTATCAAAGATCTATTTCTGAACTATCAACATCCGATTAATTAGTCTATTGGTGGATCTAGCTCATCACCATATTTAGAAGGCTATGGATTGAGCTATCAATAAACCAATTTATAGGCCGGTCATAATAAATCTTATCTATAATTTATTTAACTTTGATTTATTGTATATTTATTTTAGAGAAGCTGAATGGTACATTCTTCTCAAAATATGTTTTACTTTTTAAAATTCTGTGTGAAGTATGCATCCTGTTTTTGAAGAATTGTTATTTATAATGTAAATTCTCAAATAGCTATTCAAGTATTCAGTGTAGTAAAAACAAAATTGAGACAAAATATGAAAGAAAATTATAATATATTAGCATAGATATGTTAATAATAGTAGGATTATGCGAGAAATTTTAAACGGAATATTTAAAGATGATAAATAACTATAACAATGATGATTGGTATCGTGCAGTTTTTTCACGTCATGGGTTTTGAATTAGAGTGAAGACTATTTAGTTCTTACTGAATTGTGTCATGATTGTGACAGTGAATTCTTTTTTAATATTGGTCTCCCGATTGACTAGGCAATCTGTGACATAGACACCGTTCAACATATACAGAAATTTAATGATTTATGAAATTTTAAAACAAGGATGGTATACAAAGATTATTCAAAAACCCGATTTCAATTTATTATCCACAACTATTTTTATTGGTATTTTGATAACAAACTTTACGAACTATCAATCATTATTACACGATACTATGATAATGAGACAAATTTAATAGTGAAAATTTTGAATTACTTTTGACAGATATATTCGAAAACAATTTTAATCCAATGTCATTCTGACATCATGTTATCATATATTTCTTTTGAAATATGAGGCAATTCTATTAATACATGTACAATTCCAAATATAGACTCAGACATCGTTTAAAAATGAAAGATTAAGTTCTAATTGTGAAAAAAGACTGTAGCTTTTTAAGATCTCATTTGGGTCCTGGGTGATTATTCATATGTGATTGTATACTCCTTCTTTTTTGAAAGCAATCCGTTCAAGAAGACGAATATTATTATTATTATTATTATTATTTAGTCATTATTCTTCTTTCTAATACATTATATGAAAAAATAAAAAGAGAGAAAGAGAGAAGAAAAAAAGTACAGTTGTTATTCATCTTATAAGAAAACCTCGACTCATTTACTATAAAATAAAAAAAAAGAAGAAAAAAACACACTACACCTTGTCTTAATTTGGTTTCTAGAAAAACCTGTATACAAAATGATTCTTCTTCTCAAAAACCACACATAGAATAATAATTCTAGCACTTTGTTTCTTATACATTAAAAGCAGAAAAGTATAAATGAAATCATTTTTATCAACCTGAATGTTTATCACTCAATATATCGCTAAAAAGTAAGAAAACTGTTTCTGTTAATATTCTCAGCATTCAAAATAAAAGTTATTTTTTTTCTGTTTATTAAAGTATGACATCATTTATTGAAAAGAAGAGGAGAAAAAAAATATATGAAAATTTGGTATATTTTTTACTTTTTGAGTCATTGAATATACTTGAATCATCTCGTAAATATATCTCATCAAAAGATATTTCCTTTTCATTAAAAATTTAAGATCTTTATTTAGTAGTTTAACTTGAATTTATTTTCTACTTGTTAGATTCGAATACACAGTATACATTGTTCTCTCTAATCACTTTTTTTAAACATTCAATTTTAGGTCGTGCATGGTAAGTTTAGTACCATTCCTCAGTACTTCCACTTGAATGTATTATTTCTGCATGTTTCTTAACAAAAGTAACACAATTTGGAAAATAAGAAACAGCTGTTAATGTCAGTTATTTTTGTTCTGTTATTCTATATATATATATATATACACATTCAGTCCAAAAACCGCAACTTACGAGCAGAATTTGACCCGTAAACGTTTTGTGACCTGTACTCAAACTTATGGCCATATTTTTGTTAGATTTAGGACTTTTGGATTCGCAGTCAATGTTCATAATCTTCACCCTAATATCTATAAACATTCCGAAAACTAAAATTTGAGCCCTAAAGCCGGCTAATCGAGTTTTTATGTTTGTGAATATGTTGATTTTGATTTCCACTAGGAAAAAGTTTAATTTCTCCTAAGAGAATTTTACATTACACTAAATTTTAATTGTCTCCTATATATATATATATATATATTTTAGTAAGTGCGAATAATGTAGTTGATTCCAAAAATAAAATTGATCGCCTACTTCTTAATTGAGATCACTATTTTTTGCACTCACTCTCATTTTACTACGATGTTTGTCTGATATCAATTAAGATTTCCAAAATGAGATCACATTTTATCAAAAATATAGTCTCAATTTATAAGATTCGAATTTATCTTTTATTAATTGATGATTGAACGAGTTTCTTCGTCTCATTGTCATCCTAGTTGATTTTTTGTACTCGATCGTGTTGTATTGAGCCTTGAGAAAGAAAGCAACAAGAATATCATACTGTTTACTGTTTTTGTTTACCGTTTATTCTATCAAATATTAGTGACGATAAAATTGTTGTAAAAAAAAGAATAAACATAGAGTAAATTGTTTCTGAGAGTTGATTAAATACAAGTATATATACATCTACTTTTGTCATTAAATGAGAACTTTATTTATGCTCAAATCAGTATCTACAATAGTTCGTGTAAAAATGTATTGTCAACTGTGAGTGAAGTTAGCATATACAGCGAAGGTCAATAATCTCCTACACTATTATTTGGAAGAAATGACATAAGTTTTTGTCTAGAAATACAATCTATTTCAGCTAACTTGAAGAAACCGCTATAATCGACAAAAAAATATTCATTAAAGATGAAAACAAAAAGTGAGGAATTATAACTTGCGGGCCGTGACGAATATATATCACACTGATTATAGAGAAAAAAAAATCTTGTCACAAAATGACTGTCAAAATTACCTGTTTTTTTTACGGTTTAATGATTTACTAAAGAGAAACAGGTATATCGTTGTATATTTTTGAGCTTTGATTTTAGGTGAAGGCTATTGCGTATGTATATAGAATAGAAAGATTTGTATACGTCACTATAGCTTTCCGAAAAAACAGCATAAATTCTTAATCACCATTGAGTCTACTATTATTTATGTGAACTCTTTCAAGGGTAAGTAAAGTATAACTTGAATGTACCAAAAAAATTTCTTGTTTTTTTTTCACGAATTATAATCTTTACATATTTTAAGAATATGAAGGTAAAAAAACAAAAGTTAAAAACGACTTCAATTTATCCAATTCAATTTCAAATCAGCTTAATAATCATTACATCTAAAATTCTATGTATAACAGATATGTGTAAACTCTTTCGAAATAGATAAAATTTTAACTTTTCTAGATTTAAAGAAGAGATTTCTTCAATCTTTTCATTATAAAATAAAATGTCAGAACGTAATTTCCAATCAAGAAGCTATGAAAGTCGTAGTGGTGGTAATAGTAGCAGTATTTATGATCATCCGCCACTTGATATTAATCGAGAAGTTCGTACAAATATTCCCATTCAACATACACAGTCTTCACCTCATTTGATTAATGTTCAACATACACAGCCTCCACCACGTTTAATTAATCCTCAACAAAAGATATTAGATCGAGTTCGTCATCCTGATACAAATGTACAATGGATTAATGAACCCGTGAGAGATGCATTTGGTAATATATTATCAACAAATGACAAGTTTCGTATTACAGTTAATGTAGATGGTTTTCGACAAAACGAAGTAAGAGAATTTTATACATTTGTATTCTGCATTACTTATTTTTGTCCTTTTCTAGATTAATGTTCAGACTACTGGAAATAAAGTGACTGTGACCGGTGAACATATTGAAAATAGAGATGAAGTACGTTCTACTTCCACCATTGATCTGTTACGCCTTTTTCTGTTACACTAACATGAGTATTTTGTGTTAATGCTAGGGTGTGGCAAAAAAACGTATTGAAAAATCCTTCGAATTACCACGTGATGTTGATCCATATAGTTCACGTGTCACGTATCCATCACCGACAACAATGTACATTGATTTTTCGACTCGTCAGTATTCGGCTATTGGTGGTGATAATGGTAGACATTTGACAAATTTTAGCGATTCATCACCATATCACCATCATCGTGAACCAAAATTTACGCAGGAAAAACATTCAAGTGAATATTCAAGTACAAAAAAAATAGGTGGTACAGGTATAGGTGAAGCAAGTTCATATTACAGAGATCGAAGCTTAAGTAACTATGATAGATGACAACTGTATTTGAGAGATAAAACAGAATGAATCTCTCTTATTTAGGTCCAAATGTGTCTCATTATCACCGTGAACCGTTTAACGATACCAGTTCAAGAAATTATGGGGCATCCAGTAGTGGCAGTAGTCATTATCGCGTTAATACTGATAATCGTCCACACAGTGGTAGTCCTGCTCGAGGAATTTTTGTCAATTCATTGTCAAAATACGATAATTTACAAGGTCCATACAATCCTTCAAATGTGACATGGTCTGATTCGAGACAAGATAATTATAATCGATCGTCACCTTATGTATCGTCAATAGCACCAAGAATCACGACCAAAATTCGAGACGGATCTCGCAGTCCATCTTACACTATCAATGTCTCAGCCTCGAATCCAAGACAGAATGTTGAAACATTTAGCGAAACAAAACGAGAACGACATGTTGAAAGATCAAGTCCTACGACTGGTACAACGGCATCACATGAATATGAGCATCAAAGATCAGGCAGCCCATCGACAAGACAATATCATTCAAATATAACACCATCTTTATCTATTGATGATGATAATCTAAGTCATCGATTTAAGACTGGTGTTAATCTTGATCGTTATTCCACCACCTCCACATCGACACCTTACTATGAACCACCATCTCTTAGAAACAATAATGATCATTCATCTCGTAATGTTGAAGTTCATGAATATTCTCGACGTCTTGCAGGCAACGAACCAATATCAACAACACGCTTAATCAACAATGATGGATTTAATGCTGAAGCATTTTATAAGAGTGCATTTCAACCAAAAATCTTTTATAATCAGCATGGACAGCAACAAATCGAAATGAAATTAGATGCACAAAATTATGAACCGAATGAAATTAAAGTATCAATGAATGGATACGAATTAATTGTTCAAGCTGAACATAGTAATCGACGACCGCCTAATCAATCATCTCGATCCTATTTCCATAAACAAATAACATTGCCACCAGATACCGACTTATCAACGATAACATCTCGATATGAGCCTGATCAAAAATTATACATAACAGCATTGCTAAAAGGTGATAAATTCGGTTCAATCAAATACAAATGAATGACTATAACCTCAATTTGAACAAGATTTTCTGAGAAAAACTGTTGGATTGGAGAGACGAGTTGTTTTATGTATTTTAGAATAAAACAGTCCAATATTAGTTGTCTGATGAAAACGTTACTTGAACATTAGTCTTAACACCTGGGCTAAGACACTTTTGCTAAAAAGAATCTTCAATATAAATAATGGTTTTCAATGAATTAATTTAATGTTCTTTCAGCACTGAACTAAGAAAGTTTTGTCCTTGTTTCAAGTCAGTTTTTAACATGAGCCTTTATTTCATAGAGTCAAGTCACACGTCATAAATCACCCTCTATTTAGAAAAAATTTTCATTTTTGAATTGAATATTTTGCATTATAGAGTAAAATATTCTCTACAAAATAAGACAACTCCCAGCTCTTTTTGACTTTTCGTTGAGGAGATACAACTTTTTCAGTTTGTTGCAACACGCTGATTAAGTTTCAAAACTTTTTTCTCTTCCATTCAGTATCTGAACATTTTTGCAAATAATAGATCTTGATATCTATAGCAAATAAGAAGTCTTCCGGCTCTTCAGAATATTTCCATCGGTTATAAGCATTTTGCCAAAAGCCCTAAAAGAAGTTACTTTTGTGATACAATGTTCGTGGATCAAATCTTGATTCTACCTGATCTGTATACATTACAATCTCTTAATTCATCTGAAAGCAGAAGACAACGGTAAAATCACAAACGTTTGTGATTTTCACAAGAAAACTGCAAGAGGAAAAATAAGTATAATTTTTTCAAAACAATATAAAGCTAAAACGGAAGAAGGCATATAATATAAACGTTTTGGAGAATGTATAACATGTTTTAATCAAATAACTTGCTATTCTATGAGGTTACTTTTAGGGTTGACAAACCCAGTGAATGTTGGCACTTATACTAAGTTTTTGGTTGATCAATGGTAAAATGTGTTATCCACTGTAGTTCATGCTTATTAGATAGTTTTTTTGCGTGAGAAGTGTAACTCAACTAACCATAGAAATATCAGCTATGTAGTTCTTCTTACAGTTACGGTTAACTATAGTAACAATATTTCGAAGTGGACAAAGTCATTCGTTGAGGAGAAAGTTGTGTAAAAGATGTTACATGCTGTGAAAATGAAGTGCATAAAAACATGAAGGGATAAGAAATGAACATCAACTCAAGGATACTCTACTATGTTAATCAGGAAATCGACATGAACCTCACAACCAAAATGCGGATGATGGGAAAAAAATTACAATACTTTGACTAATATTGTGTGATCGCATACTTCTCACTATAATTCATTTATTTTTTATCGTAAAATATATACTTAAACATAAAATAGACATAAAAATAAATAAAAGACACAATAATACTACAGAAAAAAATAAAACTGTTTCTGAGAGTTGAGAAAGATGTAATTGTTGACTTATTAATTAACAAAACATAAACAAATTGCTGCAAATGTCTTTCTTTTTTTGTAAGAAAAACAGAAAATAGTGTGTACTTTGTCAGTTTTAGTAGATAAAAAATGTATAAGTGAATCTGACAAAGAGATAATAGAAATGATCAAAAATAATATATTGTGGTGGTAGCTCTTTGTGTTAATCGGCATAAATAATACGAAGTGTATTGGTTGTACCATAACCAGCTCTCCAACCTTAAACAAAGAGCAAAAATATATAAAGATAACGCACTTTTTTGTAAATATCTAATATTCTTCTCCTTACCTGTAACAACAATGACAGCATCACCCGGTTTACAAAATCCTTTTTCTTTAGCAATTCGTATAGCACTTGTTACACGGAAATCAACATCGACTAACCATTCTGTCATAGCTGAAGCTTCTTGACCCCACATACGTTGTTGTTGAAAACTGTGAGGATCAGCAGTAGAGCTAGTGGCTAAAAAACGGAACAAAAACGTTCAAATTATCATAAAAATACAAAAGTAAAAGTCGTATGTATCGGCATATAAAGTTTGCAATAAAAACAATTCACAAGTGATGTAAAAACGTTAACACATAATCTTTATCTTCTGTTTGAGCAGTCAGATTACCTGTCGATGATGTGATTGGTTGAACAGGCTGTTGTGCTAGAATAGAACGACACACCAATATTCTAACTTTTACAGTCTATGTGAACAATCTTTTATGTATTGTCATTGCTTACCTTGAGGACGAGGTTCTACAAAAAGAGATTGAAAACAAGCATATATCAAACTAATGTATTTGTAAAAAGTCTTATTATTACTTACTAACATATACAGGAAAACAAGCACGATACAAATGCATTTGTCGTGCTGTGGCCAAATTTCTTGTTACAGTCATTATTACAGCTCGTGGACGATATTGAGCAATAAGATGAGCTGATCTAAAATGAACAACTTTGACACGTATTTCTTAGTACGTTAATTATGATAATTTTGTTTGACATACCTTCCAGAATGTGTCAAGACAACAATAATTGTTGCAAAACTTCGAAACGCTGCTTCAACGGCGGCAATTGCTGTTGCATGAATTTGCTCCTAGAATGATAGTATTTTCAACAATGCATACTTCGAAAAGTAGCTAATTATTAACAATGCCACTTACTAATGGTGGTTTAGTGAAATAACGTAAATTTTCAAATAATTCTCGATGGAATAAACAAGCTTCGGCTTCTCGAGCAATCTTGAACGAAAAGTTAAATAGTGCTGTATTGGTTTATATTGAGTGTCATACTTCGTGCATAAGTTTTATACATTCAACAGGATATTTTCCTTTTGCTGTTTCACCGGATAACATGACACAATCAGCATTATCTAATACGGCATTGGCAACATCACTGACTTCTGCACGTGTTGGACGAGGATTTTTTGTCATACTTTCCAACATCTTTAAATAAACGAACATTTTATTTATTCATTTAATTTCCTACTAAAGTATTTGATGAGATTAAAACTATATCTGACTATCTTCGATTGTTTACCTGTGTTGCACATATTACTGGTTTTCCTGCTTGATTACATTTTGCAATCATCATTTTTTGTGCAACAAATACTTTTTGTGCTGGAATCTCGATACCCATATCACCTCGAGCCACCATGATACCATCTGCAACTTCTAATATAGAATCAAAGCTAAAATATATGAAAATACATAACATAGATTAATAAGCGTACAGCATGTTACTCTCCCTATATCTCTCTCTTACTTTTGAATTCCTTGATGATTTTCTATTTTAGCTATGATTTTAATATCTTTTCCCTCGGGGCCAAGTAATTCTCGTATAAATCTTATTCCATCAGCGTCACGAATAAACGATGCAAATACCATATCGAGCTAAAACTCATAAGGGTATAGACGGTACGAAATAACGTATGTGCTCAAAATATATACCTTATTTTTAACAGCAAATTCTAAATCATGCTGATCTTTCATTGATACCGCGGGTAAGTCAATTGGTACGCCTGGTAAATTTACACCTTTTCGACTACCTAATAAACCACCATTTTCGACTTCGGTCAATAAATAATTTGAACCTAAAACAAACATTAAAGTACTTTTCTCTTATTCTACTTTCATATTATGCCAACATACCAACTTCTTTGGTTATTAAACTAATAAGTCCATCATCAATAAATACTTTATTTCCTTTTTTAATAACATTGACAATATTTTTATAGTCCACATATAAATTATCCAGTGAACATTTTTCAGCAAATGCTTCGTCGGTTGTTATACGAACAGTTGTACCAGTTTGCAAATCTAATTCAGAATTGACTCCCTTAAAGTTAAACATAAAGAATGAAATCATATGATACTTATAACTTTGACTTACAGCTTGAAGAACGCCCGTTCTTATTTCAGGTCCTTTTGTATCTAATGCAATACCAGTTGGACGAAATAAACCAGCATTTTCGGCTGTCAATTGTTCAGCTGCGCGAACATTGTCAATACTTTGTTGATGATACTATTTTAATATAAAAAAATTGAATGATTGTATAAATCTCAAAACTCTGATATACCTCATAAGAACCATGTGAAAAATTTAAACGAGCAATATTCATTCCTGCTTGGAGCATTTTTGTTAACATTTCAACACTTTGAGAAGCTGGACCTAGAAGAACACGCGAAAAATAACATTTCACGTACAGATCTTTTCGTATTTGTGCTCAGTAAGCATGGTCAGTGATACTCAGAAGAATCTACTATTTCTCTTTCATCATTTTTGTGGTTTAAAGGATATCGAAACTTACCAAGTGTACAAATAATACTTGTATGACGAGTATTCCACTACAATAGAACAACAATAGACAACTAGAACAACTACAAAAAAGAGAATTCACTTCTTTTCCTTACCGGTTCTGAATCAACATCAAGCAGCGTTCGTTGTTCCAATGCGTTGACAGCGGAAGTTTCGGCAAATGATTGATTCTGATACAATGCTTTATTTTTCTCATCATGTTTCATACGATCTTGGAGACTCATCTAAACAAACAAGCAGGACTGAAACATGCCGTATGATATATTTTTGAACGTTGAGAAAGCATACTGGAAGTATAGATTAAAAAAAGAAAACAAATATCTAATATGCAAAATTTTTTACAGCAATAGTAAATGTCTCCTCTTTCGATGATAACAACTGCTAAAATTCACTTTTATACCAGTAATAAACGCATTTTTAAAAAAAGTGCTCCGTTGACATTATCATTCATTAATGGAAATGATAGCTGCTGTTGCCGTCAGAATAAAATCGAATCAGAATTGTCAATTTGCTACTTTCTCTGAACTCGATAATCTTCGAAAGTGGTTACATATTAAAGCTATCCAATTTAAATCTAAACTAACCTATAATCTTGTTATTAATCTTAGGAAAAAAATCTGTTCCTAACCGATGAATTGGGCTATTTCAAGTCATAAATACAAATCTTCTGAATCAATATATACCTGAGAGAATCCAAAACAAGCTTTTTTCGAAGCTTCGAAAAAGGGACAGATTTTGTGCAGAAAAAGTAGAAAAAAATCATAAGTTTGGTCTTTTAAAGCTCAAGAGTGAGACCATTCTAAACAGGTTGACTTTGGTCACAATCACAGAAATTATTTTTTTTCGCTGTTTGATATTCACATTCCTAAAACCGGTAGTAAACACCTCTAAAAGAGTAATATGGATTGTTAACGGAAGGTTATTGATAGGCCTTGAAAAGCGCATAAATACTGTGCATTAGTGTGCTCAATACTTGCGCAGTTTAATGAAGCAGTCTATGCATTCTGATACTGCAGACAAAGTGAGGGTCAAGATAAGCGTCCAGTAGTTTTACTTCCAACAATCGCGGCTGTCAGTGTATTTTAGCCTGAAAGACACTGGTAGTCGCGATTGTAGAAAAAAAACTATCTTATCTTAGCCTCTTTCAACTGCACAGATAATGAACACACCAATGCGCAATGTATAATGACAGTCTCATAGGACTGTCAACAGAACTAACTTTTTTCCCATTGAAAAAAATGTAATTTCCTTTTTTTGTATAAGTTTTATTGCTTTTACAACGTTTGAGTGTTATCTGAGTATAAGACCTACCCTAGTGGATGGACTTGAGATGAAATACTTGAATACTCAGCAGTTTATCAAGATACTTGTCAAGTGTTTTCAAAACCACTTGCTTGCCAGGCACTTGAATCACTTGTGTTTTACACAAGTATTTGTGAGTTATTTATTAAGTATTTGATAACTCGGAGTTCTTATAAGTAAAATTACTTATAAAACATCAGGAACTGGCTTCATTACTTGTACCAAGCATTTTTTCAAGTATTTGACTTCAAATACATCCACTAGAGTAATATGGAAGTAATAAGTTTAAGTAATGATATTATTGGGATCGCTTTTTAAAGAAAACTTTTACATCTTATATAAGGTTAGTTCATGAACTCCCGAAACCCTTTTGAATGCATATTTTATATTTGGCTTTTCTCCGACATTTTGTCAAAAATCCAAAATGCAAATACAAACTTATTGTGAAAAGGAGAATCCTCTCGATATAACGTGCTGATTCCAATATGTGATCAGGTGAATCTAAGTCGTTTACTGACTAAAAAACAGGAGAAAAAGGTATTAAGGTACTAATGCGCTTCTCGTTCCGAGTAGGAGACCGTTGGGTCCGAATGAATAAAATACTAAAAAAGCTGCAAAAAGGTTGTGTTAAGATATTGCTTTAGATGTGATTGTATAATAGCTGAATTTTGATGATCAAGTGTAAGAAACAGAAAAGGCAGAATTATAACCCAAGAATAGTAGTCTTGATAAAGTGCAGTGTGATCAATCCAATGAATGTAGTAAGCCGGCGGATTGTGACAGGTTGTAAAATTTTATAGAATGGGTTCGCAACCAGGGATTGCAGATGGCCAAAATTACATGATGACCTTACACATCTCCATTACACACTCCTTTACTAATTATCAAACTGCAGCTGTATCAATACACACTCACTCAGTTTCTGGCGAGATTAAGCAAGCATTGTAAAAAGAACAAGTATGCTCTTAAGATGTCGTGTACGTAGGGACCGTACATTATGTCCTGAAATATGTCGTATCAACAAGTGTACGCATTCAATAGGGCTTCTGCAAAAGACACATTTGTTGTCTCCTACAATGCGTCCTGATGAAATGTCCGTTCTTTCCATTCATCTTTTTTATGTTGTAATAACACGTGTATATGATGATAAAATTAAAACTTCATTTGGAACATCGAAAATAGTTTTGCCATAATTCATTAATGGTCGAACCTTGATGATTCAATCCTTTCGAAAAAAAAATATCATCAGTGATTGAGCAGCTTGATTATAAATAACTTTTACAAAATCCTTCATAGGAACTATTAAAACGGTCCTGAAAAATGTCTTGTCACTCCTTATATTTGCCAAAGAAACTTTTGGCTTGTTTCATTGTCTTTGTCACTCTTTATATTTGGAATTTCAAAGCAGACATTCTATAGTGAGCAGAACCCCCGGACACTATTAGCTTT